TCAAACTGATTATGTTCCTGGTAAAAATAAATCTACTCGAATGGAAATTTCACGTGAATTCATGGCTACAAGTAATCCCAGTAGCAGAAAAATACATCAGGAGCTGACACCTCCTTCTCCTGCGGAGGGAAACATGACCACTCAGAGCCCTGGAGTCCCCCTGTGACGTCCATCCAGGCACAGGTGACTGATTTCCAGATATCTGTATTTGTCATTCTGATTAATAAGATGCAAGGTAATTTTAAGGTGTTCACAAATTCTTTTACTATTTTGTATTTGCTAAATCAACACACACGAGAAATACAACAGCTATGTTGGAGGTCAGCAATATTTTGTGTGTTAAAAAAGGATCTTCCTACTCAAAAACAAATGGGAACTTCAAGACTTACTATAAAATTATAGTAATCAAGAAAGTGTGGTTCTGGCAACAGGATCGAAAAATAGATCAGTGAAGAGAATACAGGACTTGGAAGCAGATACTCCATGGTCATTTGATTTTTGACAAAGACATCAAAGCAACAACGGGAAGGGAAAGTCTCTAAGAAATGGTGCTGGGACAACTGGACATCCACATAGGAACAAAAGAGAACCTCAACTCTTGTCTCAGTCAGGCTTTGATCAGAGAAGCAGTGCCATCGTGAGTGATACAGAACTAGGTTTCATCATAGGAGTTAGACCTCACCAATTGTGAGAGCTGGTTACACAACCTATGTCAGGCTGTTGCTTTTGCTGAGGTGTCAGGCCTGAAATTGGCCGGACCAGTAGACAGGAAGGAAAAATGGAGGTGAGGAGGGGGAGAGCAAGGACAAACTGGAATCCACAAGGACAAACTGGAACCTGCATTTGTCTCTCACCACCACTCACCTCCGTGGCATGGGCACCCTACGGAAAAAGCAGCACTCCCTGGCCCGGACTCAGAGAAGCGGAAGGAGGTGAGGCGCAGCTGGAGGAAGTGTGCGGATGGCTGCTGCCCAGCACCAACAAGGTGATCCAGCAGATAAGTGACAACGGCCTGGCCCTGGATGGGTCATTGGAGCTTAAAGATGGCACTTTCTTCACTTCTACCTTCCAGGTATGGCACAAATTTCTCTTGTGCTCATCTCTAACCTAGAACCATACAGGGAAAGGGAATATACAGTTCCTTCTTAGCTAAGTTGACCCAGGAAAAAGTCTGCACAACCTGCACCTCACACACTAAAAAATCAGTTCAATATGGCTCAGAGATCTAAACATAAATGCTAAAACTATAAAGCTTCTACAAGAAAACACAGAAGAATATCTTCGCAACTTGAGTAGGCAGATATCTAATGCATGACCTAGGGAGCAATAATGATGAAAGGGACAAGTGATGAAGCAGACCTCATCAAAATTAAAATCCTCTGCTCATCAAAAGATGCCATTAAAAAATGAAAAGACAGGCCACAGGCTGAGAGGAAACACTCATAAAACATAATTCTTACTCACTTAGTAATAAAAAGTCCAAAACATGGATAAACAATTTGAAAAGTCACTTCACAAAGGAAGATATGGTCAATAAGCACATGAAGAATTACTCAACATCATTAGTTATCTGAAAAAGTACAGGACATCATTAGTTAGAAATGCAAATTAATACCAATGAGATACCACTACACAACAACCAAAATGATTACAATGTAAGAGACTGACGATTCCAAATGCTGGCAAGGATATGGGGCAATTTCATACATTTTTGGTGGGGGAATGTAATGATGTCTGTAACTGACTTTGAAATGCATCAAAACATGAATGAGGCAGATTGTAGTTTCCAAAAGTGACCACAGCAATATCTCCCTTCCTACCTGCCCTGTACAACCGTGGCAACCAAGGGCACGTGTGCCACTCCCCTTTCTAGTCTCAAAGTCTAATTCCCCTCCCCCTAAATCTGGTGAGTTTGTGACTGCTTGAACCAATAGAGTTCAGTGGAAATGATCCTGTATGAGTTACAAGGCCGGGCCCAAAAAGTTCATGACACTTCTGCTTTGTTCACAGGAACACTTGTGCTTGGAGCCCTGAGCTGTGGGGTAAGAAGTTCAACTACCATGAGACCAACGTGCTATGATCAAGCCAACTCAATGGCGAGGCCACATATCATCACTCCCTTCTGTTGTCTCAATCTTCAAGTCATCCTGGCCCAGCTGCCAGACACATGAGTGAAAGACCTTCCAGCTATTTTCAGCTCTTTGCCGTCAAACCACCCCAGCCTAAGGAGCCTTCCAAGCACAACTTTTCACTGTTTCATGAGGTACGGAAAGAGAGAGATGAACTAAAGAAGGAAGTACTCAGTTTCAAGCAGAATTTAGAGGTCAGAGTAGCTGGATTCAAAACCAATTTCTCATTCCAAGTTTATCCTGGGAGAAGATTCTCAAATTAAGAAAGAGCTTCAGGGCAAGGCTCAAATCCAAGACACTGCCAGGAAAACATCTCAGGGTAAAGGTGAGGCCAAGTGCCCAACTGCAAAACTCTTCATTAAGGTGTCAGGAAATTTTCAGGTGGTGCCTTGCAGGCCCTTTCAACCAGACAAAAGCTGTTTAAGGATACTAACAGCATGCTTTGCAGACATTCTGCGTTAAAACATAGAACTTCTAAGAATCTTAAGGGCACTGTCCCACAGCAACCTCATGGGGAGCCAAAGTAGAGGATTTATTTTGAAGAGATTTGTGAGTATGGCTTTTATTTAATGGAATGGGTTACAAATTGATACAGAAGAAGTCCACAAAGGTTTTAAAGGAACTGAATTAGATTGGCCTGAAAGGGAAAGAGACAATTCAAAATGAAAAGAGGCCTTTGAACTCCCATACTTTTATGGGCAGGAAGCAAGTGAGTAGAGAAGTCCACTTTGCAAATGCAGGACATTTCTCATGAAAAAGGAAGGTGACTCAGAGGGCAGAGCCAAGAGCCATGGAAAACAACTCCCAAGGAAGCGGCAATTTGTACTCAGTTAGATTTCAGAAGTGCTGTGGTCCAATGTCTCCCACATGCCTCCCATTTTCTCCCTTTTCGAATAGGAGTATCTGTGGTGATTATCCTATTACTGCCTGCTCTTCTGTGTAAGCGGATGGGTGGCTGATAACATGTCCATTTATTTTACAGACCTTCAAATGGCGTACTCAAGGAACCACACCTGAGGGGCCTAATTCATACATGGATCTGATTTATATGCAGAAATCTTGGACTTTGAGTCTGAACCTGATGCCTTAATGGAATGAGACTTTTGGGAGCTCTTAGGGTGGGCATTTTGCATAAGGATTGTTATGACCAAAGGGGAAAATGTGACATCTCCAAAGATGACTGCAACAAGAGCTCCCATCCCATATATTCTACAAAGTGGCTTTGCCACTTCACCATCAAGAGGTGGGGTCTAAATCTCCTGTTTGAATCTGACTGCTTCAACCAGTAGGCAGTGACACTCTGTAACTCGAAAAGCCGGGTTATAGAGGCAATGCAACTTCTGCCTTGTTAGCCCAAACTCACACTTGGAGCCCTGAGCTGCCATGTAAGAAGTTCAACTACCTTGAGTCTACCATCCTGGGAGGAAGTCTAGGCTACCTGGGGAGACCACACACAGGCTCTCTGTTGGTAACCCCAGACATGTGAGTGAAGGTGCTTCCAGATAATTCCAGCCATCAGCCATCAGGTCTTCCCAGCTGAGGCCCCAGACAACACAGAGCAATGACAAGTCAACCCTACTATGCCCTGTCTGAATTCCTAACTCACAGAATCCACGAGCATAACAAAATGGCTGTCGTTTTAAGTCACCAAGTTTTGAGGAGTTTGTTACACAACAACAGTAACCAGAACAGAAGGATTGCTAGATGGATAGAGAGCTGGACAGATTAATAGATGTGTGATAGAGCAAGGACAGCTAACCCTGGTGGCTACGATTCGGTGCTTTCACCGTCACAGCCCAGGTTGGTTTCCTGGTCAGGAAACCACACCCTTTGTCTATCCACTGGGATGTCATATTGGATGTCTATTGGCTGTGGCAGCTGCATGTTGCTGCGATGCTGAAAGCTATGCCACTGGTATATCAAATACCAGCACGGTCACCCATAGTAGATGGGTTTCAGCAGAGCTTCCAGACTAAGACAGACTAGGACAAGGACCTGGCCACCCACTTCTGAAAAACTGGCCATGAGAAGCCTATGAATAGCAGCGGAGCATTGTTTGATAAAGTGCCAGGAAGATGACAGAACGGCACAAAAAGACGGCAGGGTTCCGCTCTGCTCTGCACAGGGTCACTACGAGTTGGAATTGACTTGTGGGCATTAGCAATAAGCAAGCAAGTATAGTTAAATGTTAATCGTAGAATCCAGGTGGGACATACATGAGTGTTCACAGCCCAATTCTCTCAATTTTCCTGTATATTTGGAAGTTTTTACAGTAGAATGTTGGTTAGGAAAGAAAGAATAGGAACAAATGTGAATAAGAGAAAAAGCACTAGTTAGCATTGATCATGTGTTAGACTCTGCTAGGGCTCAGGCCAAGCACTTTTATATTTATCATCTCATTTAATCTTTTCAATAGCCCCATAGGTTGGTGCTATGATTTTCTCCACTTTACAGGTGAGAAAATTGAGGCTCAGACAGGTTAAGTCACCTATCTAAGGTAATAATGCTTGTAAATGGCAGAGGCGGGACTCTCGTTCAGGTATGTGTGATCCCATAATGGATGCTGTTACCTTCCTCTGGTCTAGAGCACCCAGCATTCCTGTCCACCCTCCATCCATTTCTTTGAGAGAAAGAGAGTTAAAACTCAACAAACGGGGGCTGGCCCAGTGGCACAGTGGTTAAGTTCATGAGCTCCACTTCGGTGGCCCAGGGTTCACAGGTTAAGATCCTGGGTGCGGACCTACACACCACTCATCAAGCCATGCTGTGGTGGGTGTCCCACATACAAACAGAGGGAGACTGGCACAGATGTTAGCTCAGCAACAATCCCACTCACCAAAATAATAATAAAAAAAAAACGCAACAGACGGCTTCTAATAACTCCTTAATTTTTATACCTCTCCAGTATTAGATTGTATTTTTATGGAAGGAAAAACAAAGTTCTTATATTCTCTTCCTTCTGGGATGGCATTGTCTTCTTCCCATCATTCTTGGCAGTTGCACATCCTTTTCCAGGTGCTAAGAAAACTTAACTCACGTATTGGGCTCCAAAGGTGGTACGGAGTAGTCACACTGAGTGTCTCCTTTTGTTCCCACTGTACTCTGAAGGAAGGAGAGGTTCTTTTTGTGAATGAGAACCTGTGATGCTCAGAGACTTTCAATAAGTTGGCCAAGGTCTGGCAGCCTGTGGTGGAGTGGTTAGGTTCACATGCTCCACTTGGCAGCCCAGGTTTCACTGGCTGGGATCCTGGGCACCGACATGGCACCACTCATCAGACCATGCTGAGGTGGTGGCCCACATAGCACAACCAGCGGCACTCACAACTAGAAAATACAGCTATGTACTGGGGGGCTTTGGGGAGAAGAAGAAGAAAAAAAAAGGAAGAAGAAGAAGATTGGCAACAGATTAGCTCAGGTGCCAATCTTAGAAAAAAAAAATTGAGAGCAAGATAAAGACCTTTACAAAAAAAAGTTGACCAAGGCCACACACGATTAAAGGAGAGGGAGACCTCGCACTCCCCTCTGGTGGACGGGGTTTGGGTTCACTTTCTCTTAACTGGTCTCCACACTGGTTTCCTACTAAACTGAGCCTAGCAGTTAAACTGCACTTGCTCTCAGATGCCCGTGATTTGTGTGGGTACTTTCCAGACCGTGGTACTTCCGCGCCTGGCACAATCCCGAGGAATTTTTGAGCCGGGGAGCAGAGATTTGAGTCAGTCGTAGACATGCGCTCTTGGCCACCAGCGCGCCCTGGGGAAAAGGACTGTTTTCCCTCCTGGTTTGCGTTTTCACCGAGGGCCTGGATGTCCTGTGCTTTCCTGCAGCCCTAGGGAGGCCCTGGGCAGACCTGGGAGCGCCCCTCGTCCCCAGCGAGGAAGGACCCCTGTTCTGCGGAACGGAGGCCCAGAGAGGAGGCAGGGCGTCGGGCGCGCGGTCAGCAGGGCTGCAGCCTGGGCAAGGGCCAGCCCCACTGGGCCCCGCCCAGCACCCACCAGGGGGCAGCTGCGCCCCCCACGAGCGGGTTGACTGGCTGGCCTAAGCCTCTAACCCTGGATACCCGGGCGGGCCCTTGCAGCCCCCAGACCCACCCGTCCACAACCCCGACCTCAGGAGGCAGACCCCGGCCCTCCTTAAAGGCTTAGCGGGAGGCCTGGGTGCCACCACCGCACAGCTCGGCGCGAGCGCTCCATCTGGAGCCTGCGGCCCCCCGAGGGGGAGAGCTTGGGCCGTCAGCTGGGCTGGCAGGGCCGCGACCCCACCCCCGACCCCACCCCGGGGCCCAGAGGCGCGGCACTCCCGGCCCGCGCTGAGCAGGCCGAACTGGGGGTCGCCGTCTGGCTTGCCCGCAGGCTCTCACCAACAGAGTCGCGGTCCAAGTTTCCTGTCTCCGCCTGGGGTCGCCTGAGCACTGCAACTGCCCTAGGCTTTCTGGGCCATATGGGGGACAAGGGGAAGAAGCAGCTGCGCCAGGGCTGCTTAAGGCCGGAGCCCCAGGCGGAAGTCCGGTTTCTTGGCAACGGGTCCCCTGCTCGGGTGGGGCCCCCCAACTCCCCCAACCCCCACCTTTTGTTGGTTTTTTCCTCCCCTCCCCCATTGAGGCTCCCAGGAGTCAGAGCCGGGGGCCAGGAGACGGAGCCCAGGTGTGGGCGGGGCCGGCGTGGGAGGAGGGCCCCGGGCTGCCCCAGCTGCGGGCCGGCGTGTCCCCGAACCCCTCCCCGGCGGGTGTGCGCGCGGGAGGGGGCACGGGGAGGGCCCGAGATGGGGCAGCAAGTCTGTTTCCGCCCGGCCTCCGCCTGCTCCGGCTGGAACGAGTCTTTCCGGTGGGGCTGCCCGGCCCGGTCCGCCCCGCCCGGCCTCCCGGAACCACGCGGAGACGCGCACGGCCCCGCCCAGGCCGAAGGCGAGCTCCGCGGGCGGGCCGCAGGGCGGGGCCGCTGGGGCGGGAGGGCCCGGGGCGTGTTCCCGCCGGGGCTGCGGGCCTCCGGGGCACCCTGACAACTGGAGAAACTGAGGCACAGACTGTCTCAAGGCCGCACTATGAGTTAGCAAACCACAGGAGCGCCCAGTGAAAGCCTGCGACGAGTGGCCTGACAGAGGCCGGGATTTTCCCAGGCCCTGAGTCCTGGGGGTCTGAAGAGGACCAGAGGGGCTGGGGACTCCTGAAGGCCTGGGCGCCCGCTTCCGGGACATCTCCGCCGGGTGGAACGAGCCGGATCGCCGCGAGGGTCCCCGGCCTCACGAAATTAATGAGGAAGATGCCTTTCCTCAATGGAGGAGGAGAGATTCCGTTTAACCTCTGCAGACAGCAAGACAGGGACCACTCTCCCCCCAAGCCTGGCGGCAGCATGGACTTGAAGGCACGTTAACAGGAGCCAGGAATTGGAGGTGAAGCACCCTTCATTTCCTCACCGGTGGAACAAGTGAGGTCTCTGATTGCCAGGGTCTGGTTTTTCAAAATCGCAGCATGCTCAGACCCAAAGCGGGGGTGGAGGGTGGGGGATACCCTGGAGGATCCTTTTATCTGCTCAACCTTGAGTCAGACTTGCAAGCAGCATTTGATCAAGAAACTTGGTCAGTTTCTCAAAATGCAAAATCAATGGCCCGTTTTACTTTTTCACTTGGCATTTCCTTGGGATATTCTCAGTTCTGGGAATGAAAGATTATAAACTATTGTCTTAAATTCTGTCCTGATTAGCATCCTTCCTCAATTCAGGATTTCCCTGGAGCCAGATCTTTGCAGCTTCAGGATTATGACTTTTTAAAAATATAATTTTGATGAATTTTTATCTGTTCCCTAGATTAGAAAATCCCTTAATTACAGGAGAAAATGTTTTCAAAGAGACAGAGTAGACGTTTAGAGCAAGCCCTGGAGCACTGCTTCTGGAGAAAATCTCAGGGCAGGCAGGTCCTCAGCTGACTTGGGGGCCAGGGAAGAACCAAGCCAGATCGTCTCTTCTGCAGCCGTCAGTCCCACTGTCTTCCAGTTAATTCCTGGCTAGAAAATAAAGAATAAGTGAAGGTTTGCTTAAAGTTGTTCATCCTCCTGCAAGAGATTCTAACTTGAGAGAAAGCATGGTCTTGGTTAAACTGTTTTAAAATTGAGTTTGGGTGGCCAAATAGCAGATGAGGGAAAATTTCTCTTTATAAAAGAATTTCCAGCTGATAAATGACGCAAAAGCTATAGATAGAACATCACCATTTTGCATCCCTAATGAATCAAGGGATGTAGGTGCGATCAGCTAAGGCTACTCACATCACCAACAGAGAATCTGACGCTATGAGTCTTGCAGTGGGAAAACAGCACCAACTATGAAGTAGTCTTGACACACCTCCCCCCGCCCCCCCCACCACAAATCAAACTGAAATGTAATTGAGCCTTACAGGAAAGAGAAAATACAGGGGAACGTGTTACACAACACAATGGGAACAGAATCAGAGCTATCCAGATCTTGTGAAACTATGGGACAAATGACCCAGTTCTTCAATAATTAATTGCAAGGAAAATAATCACATTTAGATTCTAATTCAAACAAATGGTAAAAAGAAAAAGAAGTGACATTCGTAGGACGCTTGCAAATTTCATCACTGATGGGCTATTTGATGTTTAAAAAGTCTGATTGCGTTATTTCAGAACGGCAATATTATGGTTATATATATATATATATTTTAGGCAATCATTCACTCTTTATTTGGGCTGGTAATTTTTTTTTTATTGATAATGATAGGTTACAATCTTGTGAAATTTCACTTGTACATTAATATTTGTCATTCGTGTTGTAGGTGCACCACTTCACCCTTTGTGCCCACCCCCCACCCCACCTTTCCCCTGGTAGCCACTAATCTGTTCTCTTTGTCCACATTTTTAAATTCCTCATATGAGTGGAGTCATACACAGATTATCCTTCTCTAACTGGCTTATTTCACTTAACATAATTCCCTCAAGGTCCATCCATGTTATTGCAAATGGAATGGTTTTGTTCTGTTTTGCAGCTGAGTAATATTCCATTGTATATATATACCACATCTTCTTTATCCAATCATCTGTTGATGGGCACTTAGGTTGCTTCCATGTCTTGGCTATTGTAAATAATGCTGCAATAAACATTGGGGTGCATAGGACTTTTGGAATTGCTGACTTCAAGCTCTTTGGGTAGATACCCAGTAGTGGAATGGCTGGATTGTATGGTAGTTCTATTTTTAATTTTTTGAGGACTCTCCATACTGTTTTCCATAGTGGCTGCACCAGTTTGCATTCCCACCAGCAGTGTATGCGGGTTCCTTTTTCTCCACAACCTCCCCAACATTTGTTACTATTAGTTTTAGATATTTTTGTCATTCTAATGGGTGTAAGGTGATATCTTAGTGTAGTTTTGATTTGCATTTCCCTGATGATCAGCGATGATGAGCATCTTTTCATGTGCCTATTGGCCATCCGTATATCTTCTTTGGAGATGTCTGTTCATGTCTCCAGCCCATTTTTTGATCGGGTTGTTTGATTTTTTGTTGTTGAATTGTGAGAGTTCTTTGTATATTATGGATATTAAGCCTTTGTCAGATATATGACTTGCAAATATTTTTTCCCAGTTAGTGGGTTGTTTTTTTGTTTCAATCCTGTTTTCATTTGCCTTAAAGAAGCTCTTTAGTCTGATGAAGTCCCATTTCTTTATTCTTTCTATTGTTTCCCATCTCTGAGAAGACATGGTGTCCAAAAAGATCCTTTTAATACTGAAGTCAAAGAGTGTACTGCCTACGTTTTCTTCTAGAAGCCTTATGGTTTCAGGTCTCACCTTTAGGTCTTTGATCCATTTTGAGTTTATTTTGGTGAATGGTGAAAAAGAATGGTCAACTTTCATTCTTTTACATATGGCTTTCCAGTTTTCCCAGCACCATTTGTTGAAAAGACTTTCTTTTCTCCATTGTATGCTCTCAGCGCCTTTGTCGAAGATTAGCTGTCCATAGAGGTGTGGTTTTATTTCTGGGCTTTCAATTCTGTTCCATTGATCTGTGCACCTGTTTTTGTACCAGTACCATGCTGTTTTGATTACTGTAGCTTTGTAGTATGTTTTGAAGTCAGAGATTGTGATGCCTCCCGTTTTCTTCTTTTTTCTCAGGATTGCTTTAGCAATTCGGGGTCTTTTATTCCCCCATATAAATTTTAGGATTCTTTGTTCTAATTCTGTAAAGAATGTCATTGGGATTCTGACTGGGATAGCATTGAATCTGTAGATTGCTTTAGGTAGAACAGACATTTTAACTATGTTTATTCTTCCAATCCATGTACGTGGAATGTCTTTCCATCTCCTTATGTCATCATCCAATTCTCTCAGAAAGGCCTTGTAATTTTCATTATATAGGTCCTTCACTTCCTTAGTTAAATTTACCCCGAGGTATTTTATTCTTTTTGTTGCGATTGTGAATGGTATTGTGTTCTTGAGTTCTTTTTCTGTTAATTCGTTATTAGAATATAGAAATGCTACTGATTTATGCAAATTGATTTTGTACCCTGCAACTTTGCTGTAGTTGTTGATTACTTCTGAGAGTTTTCCAATGGATTCTTTGGGGTTTTCTATATATAAGATCATGTCGTCTGCAAACAGCCAGAGTTTCACTTCTTCCCTCCCTATTTGGATTCCCTTTATTCCTTTTTCTTGCCTGATTGCTCTGGCCAGGACCTCCAGTACTATGTTAAATAAGAGTGGTGATAGAGGGCATCCTTGTCTCGTTCCTGTTTTCAGGGGGATGGCGATCAGTATTTACCCCTTAAGTATGATGTTGGCTGTGGGTTTGTCATATATGGCCTTTATTATGTTGAGGTAGTTCCCTTCTATGCCCATTTTGTTCAGAGTTTTTATCATAAATGGCTGTTGGATCTTGTCAAATGCTTTCTCTGCATCTATTGAGATGATCATGTGGTTTTTATTCCTCAGTTTGTTGATGTGGTGTATCATGTTGATTGATTTTCGGATGTTGAACCATCCCTGTGTCCCTGGTATGAATCCCAGCTGATCATGATGTATGATCCTTTTGATGAATTGCTGAATTCTGGTTGCCAAAATTTTGTGTTGAATTTTTGCATCTATGTTCATCATTGATATTGGCCTGTAGTTCTCTTTTTTCGTGATGTCCTTGTCAGGCTTTGGTATCAGCATGATGTTGGCCTCATGACCTAGAATGTGTTAGGAAGTGTTCCATACTCCCTAATTTTTTGGAATAGCTTGAAAAGGATAGGTATTAAATCCTCTCTGAAAGTTTGGTAGAATTCCCCAGGGAAGCCATCTGGTCCTGGGGTTGTATTCTTTGGGATGTTTTTGATTGGTGTTTCAATCTCTTTCCTTGCAATTGGTCTATTCAAATTGTCGGCCTCTTCTTGAGTGAGCTTTGGGAGATTGTAGGAGTCCAAGAATTTATCCATTTCCTCTAGGTTATCCATTCTGTTAACATAGAGTTTTTCATAGTATTCTCTTATAATCTGTTGTATTTCTGCAGAGTCTGTTGTTATTTCTCCTCTTTCATTTCTGATTTTGTTTTATTTGAGCTTTCTCCCTTTTTTTCTTTGTAAGTCTGGGTAGGGGTTTGTCAATTTTATTTATCTTCTCAAAGAACCAGCTCTTTGTTTCATTGATCCTTTCTACCGCCTTTTTCGTTTCTTTCAATAGTATTTATTTCTGCTCTGATTTTTATTATTTCTCTCCTGCTGACTTTGGGCTTTATTTGTTCTTCTTGCTCTAGTTCAGTTAGGTGTAGTTCAAGATTGGTTATTTGGGATTTTTTTTTGTTTGTTAAGATGTGCCTGTATTGCGATGAATTTTCCTCTTAATAGAGCTTTTGCTGTATCCCATAGGAGTTGGTATGGCATATTATCATTTTCATTTGTTTCCAGGTATTTTTTGATTTCTTCTTTAATTTCTTCAATGATCCATTGCTTGTTCAGTAGTGTATTGTTTAGTCTCCACATCTTTGTGCCTTTCTCAGCTTTTTTCTTGTAATTAATTTCTAGCCTTATAGCATTATGAGCAGAGAAGATGCTTGTTATTATTTCAATTTTTGTAAATTTGTAGAGGCTTGCCTTGTTTCCCAGCATATGGTCTATCCTTGAGAATGTTCCATGCACACTTGAGAAGAATGTGTATTCTGCTTTTTGGATGAAATGTTCTATATATGTCTATTAAGTCCAATTGTTTTAGTTTTTCATTTAGCTCCACTATTTCCTTGTTGATTTTCTGTCTGGATGATCTGTCCATTGATGTGAGTGGGGTGTTGAGGTCCCCTACTATTAGTGTGTTGTTTTTAACGTCTTCCTTTAGGTCTGTTAATAGTTGCTTTATGAACTTTGGTGCTCCTATGTTGGGTGCATAGATATTTATATGCGTTATTTCTTCTCGATGAAGTGTCCCTTTGATCATTATATATTGTCCCTCTGTGTCTCTCTTTACCTGCCTTATTTTGAAATCTGTTTTGTCTGATATAAGTATTGCAACACCTGCTTTCTTTTGCTTGCTATTAGCTTGAAGTATTGTCCTCCACTCCTTCACTCTGAGCCTGTGTTTGTCCTTGGGGCTGAGGTGTGTTTCCTGGAGGCAACAAATGGATTGTAGTCCATTTTGCCACTCTGTGTCTTTTTATTGGAGAGTTCAATCCATTTACATTGAGGGTGATTATTGATGCATGTGGACTTAATGCTGTCAATGTGTTGCTCGTTATCTGGTTTGCCTGCATTTCTCTTCCTGTGTGCTTTAGCCTACCCATTTAATACTGCAATTTCTTATCCTGGGTTTCTTAGATTTTTCCTTATTTATGTTTTGTGGCTCTGTTCTGTTTTTTACTTTAGTGGCTACCCTGAAGTTTGTATTTAGAATCTCGTGTATAATATAGTCTATTCTCTGGTGGCCTCTTACTTACTTGGCCTAGACTGATTTTGTCCCTTTGCTCTTCCCCTCCTAAATTATTATTTTCATTTCTTATTCCAACTCGTGTTATGAGTTTGTACTTAGAGTGATAAGATCATCTTTGCTTTGGAGGTTTCCTTACCTTTATCCTAATGCTATAGTTGAATATTTGCTATCCTATTCTGGTTCTATTTATCTGTCTCCCTACTCTATGGTTTGTGACCCCTTTCTCCCTTTTTTCTTTTTTCAGATATGAGAGCCTTCTTGAGAATTTCTTGTAGTGGAGGACTTTTGGTTACAAATTCCCTTAACTTTTGTTTGTCTGGAGAAGATTTAATTTCTCACTCATATCTGAAGGATATTCTTGCTGGATAGAGTATTCTTGGCTGAAGATTTTTATCTTTTAAAGTTTTGAATATGTCACGCCATTCTCTCCCAGCTTGTAAGGTTTCTGTAGAGAAATCCTCTGAAAGTCTGATAGGAGTTCCTTTGTAGTTATTTTCTTCTGTCTTGCTGCCCTGAGTATTCTTTCTTTGTCATTCATTTTTGCCATTTGTGCTACTAAATGCCTTGCAGTAGGTCTTTTTACAGTAACAAATCTAGGAGATCTGAAAGGTTCCTCTACACACATTTCCCCCTCAATCTCTAGATTTGGGAAGTTCTCTTAGATAATTTCATTAAGCACACTTTCTGCTCCATTTTCCTTTTCCACGTTCTCAGGAATTCCAATGATCCTTAAATTCTTTCTCCTCATTGAATCCACTATCTCTCGGAGATTTTCCTCATTTTTTTAAACTCTTAGTTCTCTTTCTTCCTCTGTCTGGAGCCATTCAGCCTGTCTATCTTCGATTATGCTAATTTTCTCCTCTATGGTGTCTACACGGGCATTCAGGGAATCCGTATTCTGTTTTAACTGGTCCATTGTGTTTTTCATCTCTAGTAATTCTGTTTGATTCTTCTTCATAATTTCAATCTCTTTTGTCAAGTAACTCCAGAACTCGTTGGCTTGTTTCTCTATCTTTCTCTCTACCTCATTGAGTTTTTTGATTATAGCTATTCTGAACTCATTTTCACTTAGTTTACCTATTTCCAAGTCCTCAGGACTTAATTCTGTGTTTTTGTTGTTTTCCTTCTGGTCTGGAGCTTTTATAAATTGCTCAATGGTAGAGGAGCGTTTTTTTCCCCATGATGGTAGAATTCGGTTGCAGTTACAGCCTGTCGCCACTAGATAGGGGTCGAGAGCTGCACGTTCTGAGCTCTCCGCCTTCGGGCAAGATGGCGGCCCCCAGCGCAGTTTGCCGGCGGAGGGAGGGAGTGTTTTTCTTGCATGCCAATCTAGATTCTGATGAGTTCCATTCTCTGGCCTCCCAGGGCCCTGGGTTTATGGGGTCCCCTCGCAGGGAAACTTTTCCCCATCAGCGGGTTTCCACTATACTGGCGACAGGAGTCCTGGACGACCCCTGGGTCATGCGGCCCCTCCCGTGCTCCTTCCCGCACCTGGGGCTGCAATCCCAGACTCTAGGGGAGGGAGCGAAATTCTCTCCTACCTGGTTCCATCTCTGAGGCCGGTAGCAGGATCTCCATCCTCCGTCTTTTTGATACTGTAGGTCTCTGACATCCTGGCATTAGGTTTATTAGCTGAAATTCAGGTTTTTTCCAGTCCTTTGTTGTAGTTTGGAGGGGAGAGAGTCCCAGATCAGCTCACCCTGCCATTTTGCCCTGCCCACTCCTCTTATGGTTATATTTTTAAGTATTTTAATATATTTTGGAAATACATGCTAAAATATTCACAGATGATATGATATCTGGAATTTATTTCTAAATGGTTGTGTGTAGTGGTAAGGAAAGTGGGTGAAGGTATAGATGGAAACAAGATTGGACATTAGTAATGGGTCTATGGTGGTTCATTATATTATTCTATTTTTTACTATGTTTGAATTTTTATCTGTTACTTTTTGCAGGGTCTTCTCAAACTTGGCAACCAACGTTGAATTGCCTGAGCTGGAGCTCAGGATGACCGACCCATGTCTTGCTCTGACTTTGCACATCTCAGTTCTCACTTATCTGTTCAAGAAATATTATTGAGGACCTTCATTCCGCTTGAGCTTCTGAAATTATGGATCTCAAACTCTAGATTAGAAAATGACACAGAAGCCATGAAATGGAAGGGTAGAAGGCTTTGCAGAAGGACCAATGTTTGTTATGAGTCCTGACAGATGAAAAGGAGTTCCCTCGGTGGTGTCAGTTCATCTTCTGTAAGATAACATGGTTAAACTAGATCTACAAGAGGACTCATTTAGTCCTAATAGATTCCGTGTTTATGACCCGCCTGTAACCAATTTTTTTCTTCTGTGTGTATCCCTCTAGGGAGTTGAGAGACCTCCATGGACTTCCTGTCATCATCCCTTATTTTGTTAGCTGAAGCAATCCAACTTGAGCTTTTGGTCTTGAATTTCCCAGTTGTGTTTGGAAGCCAAAGCATTGTCACATTAGCTCATCTATAATCTTCTTAGGGAATGGTCTCTTGAGCTCACAGATTTATTTCCATCCATCCAGTTCCCAAGGCATTTCACTTAGTAACCTTAGTGGTACATTTGCTGGTAATTATGCCCAGCCTTGGTCATAAAGCCCGTTTGCTCAACAACAAAATGTGAGTGCCTGCAGTCAATACTCTCAGCCTTCCCAACTGCTCTTGTCTTCCCTTTCTTCCTCTAGGACACGCAGTTTAGGATACAACATGCAGCCAGGACTTCGATTAACTAGGATCCTGATACTCTGCCACAACAGGTCAAATTTCGTGCTTTGACGGCTTTTTCATCCATGGGACAGGAGCCAGCTGCTAGGGCAAAGCTTGAAACAGCAGTGGTCATCTGACAAGTAGTTGGCTAATTACCTATCTATTCTGCTATGGAAAATTATGGGGTTTTTTTATCTTCTCAATTTTTATGGATGTTTGCACTGTAAAAGAACAATTTGTGAAACTTTTAGAGAAGTAAGATAACAGTCTTCAAATTTGGTTGCTGTATGTTCATTGAGTGAGTTTGCCTGCGCTATGATGCAGTCACACTGTCTTCTTAGGAACCTGGCAAGTATCTTGCAGTGTGATCCAGAGCCTGGTGGAGGGCTTGGAATGCTAGGGACTCCCCTAATTCTCACTGCTATAAAGCAAAGGTACACTTCACTGTGGTAAAAAATATTGGGAAGTTAGCTGTTATATATTGTATGTTTCCAGTGACTGACTGCTCCAAAGCTTCTTATACTAATTTAATTAGAATAATTTACCTTAATAGAAAACTATAATTTTCTACTTTTTCCAATCAGTTGAACCAATTTGTACTTTTTTTTACCCATCCAGATGGAGTTTATTACCCCTAAACCTTAATTTTTGTGCTAACCATTATTATAGCTAAGAAATTATGTTAAAGGAATAGTTGGGACCTCTGCTTCTGACTCTGGAACACCAGCATGGATCAAACCAAACCTCCCACCTCAAACAACTAGAATAGCTGGATAATTTTTAAAATCTGTCCCAAAACATCAGAAATCTACCTAGGCAGGGAGAAGCTGAAAGAGCAAGATCCTGGAGAGAAGGGAAGCTTAAAAAGGTGAGCCTGACCTTTCACACCTGTCTTCGTCAGCTTGGACCACAGTAATAATATACCATAGACTGGCTAGCTTGAAAAACAGGCATTTAGTTCTCATAGTTAGGGAGGCTCAAATTCTGAGATCAAGGTGTCAGCAGATTGGGTTCTTGATGAGGGCCCTCTTCCTGGCTGGCAGATGGCCGCCTTCCTTCTGTGTCCTCACATGGCAGAGAGAGGAAGCTCTGGTGTCTTCCTCTTCTAATATGAGCAATAATCCCGTCATGGAGGCTCCATCCTCATTACCCCATCTAAACCTAATTACCTCCCAAAGGCTTCACTGCCTTATACCATCACATTGAGGGTTAGGGCTTCAACATATGAAATTGAGGGGGACACAAACATTTAGTTCATACCAGCACTATTATTCTGCTCAAGGCATTTACTTCTAAGAGCAGTGACTTAAAGGCTAAAACACTGAGCAAAGCTTTCGCAGTCTCAGAGAGGCCCTGGTAATATCCTAGGCTTTTGGTTAGGACCTCTGAAAGGTTATACTAGTAGTAAAGACAAATCAAAAAGGACCACTCTCATGAAGATCAACTTTGACTCAAACCAGGTTAAGATGGCCTGCCTCTATGCTAACTGCTTTACAAAAGCAAAAGAAAATCTCTGGAGAAAGAGAGCATCATCCACAGTGTCACATCGGTTCCACAATTTTTCACATACAACATGTGGCAATTGATCAAAATTTACTGGGCATACCAGGAGACAAGACCCTATGACCCAAAACCAAGAGAAGAAATAGGTAAGAGAAACTGACCCACAGGAAATCCAGTTAACAGATATGGACTTTAGAAGAACCTCTGAGTGATACATCAACGAGATAAAAGATAAAATGGAAAATTCCAACAGACAATATACATATAAAAAAAGAATCAATGGGAATTTTATAGCTGAAAAAAGAAAATTAAGAACATACTAAGTGAGTTCAAAGATTAGACACAGATGAAGAGAGGATTAGTGAATTGGCAGATACATCAAAAGGAAATATCTGGACTGAAGCACAAAGAGACAAAAGGATGGAAAATACAAAAAGAGTGTGTCATATTTTGGAGATAGTGAAAAGGTTTAGCATAATTGCAATTGAAGTCCCAAAAGAGGACTAGAGAGAGAGGGGGGCACAAAGCAATATTTGACTAGATAATGGCCAGGAATTTTCCAAAATTGATGAGAGACATAGATCCACAGATTTGAGAAGCCCTGAAGAACCCTAAGCAGTGTAAATACAAACAAAATCACACCTAGGCACATCATAGTAAAACTACAAAAACCAAAGAGTAAGAGAAAGTCTTAAAAGTAACCAAGTAGAATAACAGATTACCTAAACTAGAGCTACAATAGGACTTACAGCTAACTTTTCAACAGAAATCATAGAAGCCAGAAGACAATAAAATAGCACCTTAATGGCACTGGAAAGCTAATCTAGATTCTATAACCAGTAAAATATACTCATCAATAATGAAGCTTAAATGAGGATTTTTAAAATAGACAAAAAGTAAGAGTATTTCTCACTATCAAATTATACACTAAGAGAAATACTAAAGGAAATTGTTTTAGGCAGAAAGAAAATTATCACAAATGGAACTTTAGAAATGCAGAAAGGAGCAAATGCAGAAGGCAGCAGAGAGAGTACACAAGTGGGTAAATCTAAATGAATATTTGTAAAAATAATATCTTGTAGTGTTTTAAGTACATATAGAAAAATTTTTTAACAAAATATATGTAAAATTTAAAATGTACGACAACAATAGAACAAAAAGTGGGAGGAAGAGAATAGAGTTAAGGTATGTTAAGGTCCTTGCATTGTTCAAGAACTAGCAAACTTACTAATTTATTTCGATTTTAATAAGTTAAGGATGCATCTTGTAATCTGCCTTAGTCTGCTTGGGCTGCCAAGACAAAATAACAGACTGGGTGACTTAAACAACGGAAATTTATTTTCTCACGGTCTGGAGGCTGGAAGTCTGAGATCAGGGTGCCAGCAGGGTCAACTATGAAACAAGGCTCTCTTCCTGGCTTTCAGGTGGTCCTCTTCTTGCTGTGTCCTCAGATGTCAGAAAGAAAGAACTCTCTGTGTCTCTTCTTATAAGGACATTAATCCTATGGAGTTCAGGACCCTACCCTTATGACCTCATTTAACCTTAATTACCTGTGTAAAAGTCCTATCTTCAAATACAGTCACATTTGGGGGTTAGGGCTTCAACATACGAATTTGATGAGGGGACCCAATCCAATCCATAACATAATCTCTAGGGTATAGCCACTAAAGGAATGGTAAAAAAATATATATATATACAGGCATACCTCATTTTATTGTGCTTTGCAAATATTGCATTTTTTACAAATTGAAAGTTCATGGCAACCCTGTGTTGAGCAAGTCTATTGGTGTCATTTTTCCAACATCATTTACTCACTCCATATCTCTGTGTCGCATTTTGGTAATTCTTGCAATATTTCAAACTTTTTCATTATTATATTTGTTATGATGATCTGTGATCAGTGATCTTTTGTGTTAGTATTATAGTTTTGGGGTGCCATGAACCATGCCATATAAAATGGTGAACTTAATAAATATATTCTGACTGCTCCGCCCACCAGCCTTTCCCCTGTCTCTCTCCCTCTCCTTGGGGCTCCCTGTTCCCTGACACACAACAATATTGCAATTAGGCCGATTAGTAACCCCTCAATGGCCTTTAAGTGTTCAGGTGAAAAGAAGAGTTGCATATCTCTCACTTTAAATCAAAAGCTAGATATGATTAAGTTTAGTGAGAGAGGCATGTCAAAAGTCAAGATAGGCCAAAAGCTAGGCCTCTTGCTCCAAACAGTTAGCCAAGTTGTGAATGCAAAGGAAAGTTCTTGAAGGAAATTAAAAGTGCTACTCCAGTGAACACGTGAATGATAAGAAAGCAAAACAGCCTTACTGCTGATATGGAGAAAGTTTTAGTGGCCTGGAGAGAAGATCAAACGAGCTACAACATATCCTTTAGCCAAAGTCTAATCCAGAGCAAGGCCCTAGTTCTCTTCAATTCTATGGAGGCTGAGAGAGGTGAGGGAGCTGCAGAAGAAAAGTCTGAAGCCAGCAGAGGTTGGTTCATGAGGTTTAAGGAAAGAAGCCGTCTCAGTAACATAAAAGTGCAGGGTGAAGCAGCAAGCGCTGATGGAGAAGCTGCAGTGAGTTCTCCAGAAAATCTAGCTAAGACAATTAATGAAGGTGCTACACTAACCAACAGATTTTCAATGTAGAAAAAAACAGATGGAAGAAAATGCCATCTAGGAGTTTATAGCCAGAGAGGAAAAGTCAACGCCTGGCTTCCAACCTTCAAAGGACAGGCTAGCTTTCTTGTTAGGAGCTCATGCAGCTGGTGACTTTAAGTTGAAGCCAATGCTCATTTGCCATTCCAAAAATCCTAGGGCCTCTAAGAATGATGCTAAATCTGCTCTGCCTGTGCTCTATAAATGGAACAACAAAGCCTGGATGACAGCACATCTGTTTACAACATGGTTTACTGAATATTTTAAGCCCATTGTTGAGACCTACTACTCAGAAAAAAAGATTTCTTTCAAAATATTACTGCTCATTGACAATGCGTCTGGTCACTGAGGAACTCTGATGGAGATGTACAACGAGATGAACATTGTTTTCATGCCTGCTAACACAGCATCCATTCTGCAGCCCATGCATCAAGGAGTAATTTCAAGTTTCAAGTCTTAGTATTTAAGAAATATATTCCATAAAGCTGTAGCTGCCATAGATATTGATTCCTCTGATGGATCTGGGCAAAGTAAATTGAAAACATTCTAGAAAGGATTCACCATTCTAGATGCCATTAAGAACGTTCGTGGTTCATGAGAAGAGGTCAAAATATCAACATTAACAAGAGTTTGGAAGAAGTCGATTCCAACCCTCACGGATGAGTTTGATGTTCAAGACTCCCATGGAGGAAGTAACGAGATGAGGTGGGAACAGTGAGAGAACTAGAATTAGAAGCGGAGCCTGAACATGTGACTGAATTACTATAATCGCACGATGAAACTTTAATGGAGGAGGAGTTGCTTCTTATGGATGAGCAAAGAAAGTGGTTTCTCGAGCTGGAATCTCCTCCTGGTGAAGATGCTGTGAAGATTGTGGAAATGACAACAGAGAATTTAGAATATGACATAAACTTAGTTGATAAAGCAGCAGCAGGGTTTGAGAGGACTGACTCCAATTTTGAAAGACGTTCTATGGTGGGTAAAATGCTATCAGACAGCATCACGGGCTACAGAGAAATCATTCATGAAAGGAAGTGTCAATCGATGCAGCAAACTTCATTGTCGTCTTATTTTAAGAATTGCCACAGCCACCCCAGCCTTCAGCAGCCACCACCCTAATCAG